CAGTATTCAAAAGGCATCCAAGTCGTGGACATCTATCAGTCAAGCTCAACCTCATTTCTCTCTACCAGGGTATAGCTGCTTACCAAGCGTATGAGGGAGATCAATCCCATTACAGTTGACCAGTCGGTCCTTGACAGTCTCAATCTGATCGCTGCCAAAGAGAGCTTCCCCTACAAGTATATCAGGATTGATGGGTTCAAGCGCGAAGATCTGTCTATCTTCGTTGTTCTCACGGAGTTTGCTGAAGGTACAGTCAACGATCTGCGGATCTTTCTGAAAAAAAGGAACGAGACACACCCTCATTTTGATGCAGTGTGCGCCGCAGGAGCCGGGTTTGTGCAATGGAAAGCTGCGAGGCTCCAGGGGAGCACAAAGCTAGTCTATAGCTTTGGCCCTAAGCTTTTCACTGACTATCCCAAACCGCCGGTCCCATACTATCTTACTGACAACTTTTACTGGGGTGGACTGATGGACTTGGCCAAGAGATATTTGTCGCCCGCAGAGATCGACTACGAGGCAGTGACTGAACCCTCTGAATTCCCACATCTCAGGAGGGGCATTTTCTCTCAGCCCTATCTCCCCACTCTATGGGAGGAATTTTGTGCCATGCTTGACTTCCGCATCATTGGACTTGGCTGAAAGTGTTTGGAACTGGCAGGCTTCAGGTGGCTTTACATTCAAAATCCCCAAGCTCAGAGAGTACGAAGACATGGCAAGAAACCCAAACGACAGACAACAAAATGAGAGATTGAGTGTGAAGTTCAGAGGGATGAGTGAGGACTCTTGATTGGTGCTGGTCATGCTCTCTTCCATATGTACTTTCTGAGGCTCTTATGAGTTCTCATTCTTCCCTCATTCATTCGATCATGTCATTGCTCGAGTCAGTCGGTCTTGCTACTTGTGCTGCTCTTGCCTAATGATCACTTCTCGTGGATGAATCTGTCACGGTTCTCAAAATCAGATTGACATAATTGTTGCATACACAACACTCCTCAATTTTATGATTATTATTTGCATATTTTTTTGTTGTTCCGAATCAAAATAAAAGATTCTTAAGACCGGGGACCCGCGAAGACCGCAATTGAAGGGTCTCGCTTGAAGTCGGACGCACACAACAGGAAGGGATTTGCATTATTTAACTTATTTTATTTATTGTAATCACATACAAAACCGTGCGTGACAGCCTGTTGGCTTTCCGGTCGCCCGAAGCAGCCCGACTGGAAAAAGTGCGACAACACGTCGAAACCACTAAAAGAGATACGTCACATTCCTAGGATAGCGACATTGATGGGAGCGCATGTAGCAGATCCACCGTTTATCATGGGTTGGTGGGGAATGCCCACGAGAAAGCATGTGCCGAGTAATCGTTGCTGCCGCAATTCGGAAGTCCTGCCAATGATTACAAATTTATTCAAATCTGGTCAATTGCCTAGTGAAGACACCTGCCGGTTGATGGGAAGGGATGCTGAAGGTAGCACTTAGATAGCGAATGACAAGGAAGTCGCAGGCAGCCGTTTTATCAAACACGCTCATGCGAAGCGAGCCATCAGAACGTACCCGTATATGCACACCTAAAAAGGCACACGAACCATCTGTTGTCTTAGTTTCCTTTCACTCAAGCCCATAATGTTCTGAGGGAGGAGGTAATTGCCCCCACGAAATAACATCATCAATGAGGTGATAAGTGAAGGTGTATCGTTATATATATATATATATATATATATATATATGTCATTCTAATTATATCTATTACATATTTAGATTTATTTGATTTATCTATTTCTATTTATTGCAATTTACCAATTATAAATTTATAAATATTATAGAGAATATAGTATCTTCTATATGAAATAATCAATAATATTGTTATTATATTACGACGAGGCCAGGTAAGAAAGAGTAGGAACACTTATATATATATATATATATATATACAGAGAGAGAGAGAGAGAGAGAGAGAGAGAGAGAGAGAGTCAAACAGAGCTGCCCGGTACACCGCAAGCAGACAGGGAGAAGAGGACAACAAACAAGGGGCTGTGACAAACTGTTTCGTCGGAGTTTCACCGACTCATATATATATATATATATATGGTATATATATATACCGGTACGGGCCGAACGTCCGAACTTACGGGACCCCTTGGGGATGTGTTCAGTCGTTCGGGCCGAACACGAAAAAAAAAAAAAAAAAAAAAAAACAATTCAAAAAAATCTGAAGAAAAAGATATGTTAGTTAGGCATGCCAGTGACATTCAGGAGGTTGTGGGTTCAAGCCCCAGTGCCAACGGACTGTGATAGTCCTCTGGATACCCCTGCTCGGTATTTGCGGGGTCTATGACCAACACGGGCGTGAGTGTGAGCGCGAGTGGGTTGTGTGTGGTGTGTGGGCGAGTGTTGGCCATAGCCTCTGCTGCTACTTGATGAGGGGTGGGGGACGATGAGAAAGGGAGGCGCAACTACTGGCAAAATGCTCGGTCTTTGCATTAGCCAGACCCCCACCGGCGGCCCCACCCTATCTCTGACTACCGCTGTTGGGGCGGGGGGCAACATAAATTACCTCGTTTGCGAGGCCCCATGCTTGCAGGGGTCCCGTCTATATAGTCTTAGGAGTAGTGGTAGGAAGGTAGTGAAAGGCAAAAAAAGATGTTGAGAGAAGTACTCAGTGTAGTTAAAAAAAAAAAACATTTGCTTGAGCATTACATCCAAATTCCTTACCAAATTAAAATTAAAAAAAAAAATCGATGACAAAGCTTTTTTTTTTTTTTTTTTTTGGCGACCACGCTGGGACACGACAAAGCTAATAATAAAAATAATAAAAAATAAAAAAAGAATTAGAATTAGTGAGTGAGCGAGCGCATTTTCGACACCGCCAGCTTTGACGATTTTTCATATTTTTTTGGCACATCCAAATTCCCTGAAAAATTACAAATGTTTACTTCATATGATACAAAAATCATTAATTGTTTTTAAAAAAATAATCATTTTTTTTAGGCCCCGCAATAAAGCGAAAACAAAAAGTAGTAAGTGAAAAAAAAACAAAATAGCGAGTGGGCAAGCACGTTTTGACACCACCATCTTTGGCGATTTTTAATATTTGTTTGGCTTAGCAAAATGACTTCAGGGGTCTGGTCCCACCTAACGTTGTTGAGTTCAGAAAACTCAACGGTGTGACGCCGTTTCGACATTAATAAATTCAAAACAAGAAATTAAAAAACTGAAAAAAACTCTAGAAACAACTTTTCTCCTTATTTTTTATAACGTAACTCAGAGAAATGAAACATGTCTGGAACAATCGGAGTGAAAGTCTTCGTGAAAAAGGGATACTCCCCGTGGTGAGGGGACAGGAGGTCACCATTTGTAAAATGGACAGGGACGACGTGGATGGCCAAATGCATTCATTGCCCAAAGAAGGAAACGAGTTTTATGCCAGACAGCCAAACACAGCTGTCAGAGTTCCTCCGTTTCAGGATGCAATGAGGTCTTAAAAAACAAAAAAAAGGAAAGGCACTGCCGTTGAGAAATGTACCCTACCCTCGGTAGGGTAGTTTTCTCAATGGAAAATGGCTTCCCGCCCAAACCAAAAGGGCCAACGCATACTACAAAACGGATTTCACATCAAAGAAAAATTCTACAAAATGACTAAATCTAATAGGTTATTCTCCTGTATTTTGGTAACGTTAGATTCGCAATACATCAACGGCAGAGCTCCGTCCCACCATGCCACACGTGATAGAAAGCGCAGCGTTGAGAAAACTCAACGCTGTAGGTGGGACTAGACCCCAGGCATGTGCCTCACATCATAGAGAACTCACGAAAAAAGATTCAGGATTTTTTTTTTTTTTTTTTTTTTTTTTCAAAACAACCCCCTCCAGTGATAGAGGTGCTGATAAGAGCAAACACCGCTAGCACCGCGGGTGAGGCTCCATCTATTGGTGGGGAGCATCACCTGCTGGAAAGCGGGTCCAGCATCCCATATTACAGAGTGAAAATACAGACTGAAGTAGAGAAAACACTGCCAGCATTGATTGCTCTGGGGTCCAGAGGATTAACTGAGCAGGTTCTAGGCCTGGAAATAATTTTTGGTGGGGGCCGAACCCGTACGTACGGAGGTTGGCCCAAGGACCTCCGTACGTACGGGCTGGTGACCCTGTATATATATATATATATACATATATTGTGACGATATATAGTCAAAGAGATGTGCGAATATATTGTTATTCAGAACAGATTGACTTTATATTGCAATCAAAACAAAAACTCTGTGAATGATGTAATCCATTCTTTTTTTTTATATTCATAATGACCCTGGTTTCACGTGTCCCAACTGCAAAGAGGCTCCTGTCTATTTTTTGGTGGGGAGCTAAGAAACCTCTGCTTGCTTTTAGCGTTGTGACGTCATCCCACGACATACAGCAACAGCGAAGGTAACATATCTCTATATGTTGCCACTGTGGAATGCAGGTAGACTAGGGATTCTCACACACACACACACACACACACACTAGGGAGGGGGATGTGGGATGCAGGCGCGCACACACACACTAGGGAGGGGGATAATATACTGATAATACTGAAAGTGTACACAGAGCACAAACAAACATCAGGAGAGATAGAGATCGATAGATAGATAGATAGATAGATAGATCGATAGATAGATAGATAGATAGATAGA